TAACACACAACATCGCACCGTCACATATCACAGATTCATAGGCTGATGAGCTTGCTGGACCAAACTATTGTCACCAAAATATGTCGTTACGTAGACGACTTTTTAATTTTCATTGACTGCAGCGACACTGCCTGCCAGCACCTAACCGACGGTATTGTAATGACTTTTAAAGAATGTTTTGAACCGCTTTATTGACTGATGAGTTGCCAGTTGACAATAGCTTACGCTTTTTAGATTTGAATTTAATTCTTTCACCTGACCATGTGTGCTGGCTATTTGAACCTAGAAATGGAAAACCCCTTTTACCCTATGACTCTTCCCATTTCCAAGTTAGTTAAGCGCAGCATCACAAATCTTTCTCTCATCAATCCTCTTAGGAAATCGTGTCATCATGTCATGCAGCGCAGCTTTGCAGCTCAAGCTGAAAAGCTTTTGAGTGCTGGGTACCCAGCTATCCTACTGGCATCTATAGCTGAAAAGCTATTAAAACAGATAAAGAAAGGCTGCAACTTCGAGGCTCAGCCGGAATCTAACGACCGAAAAAGACCTGTAGTTTTACCCTACGTGCATGACTATTTCCCACCGGCTAAAAAAGATAGGGGAGAAATGCAGCGTCAAAGCGGTGTTTTCAGCGCCGGATAAGTTACAGCGGCTTTGCAAAGCAGTCAACCCTCTCAAATCACGTACCACTGGTTGCGCAACTAAGCACAAAACTCGGTTCGTGCCGTGTGTAGCGGGGGTTGTTTACGCGATTCCATTCTCATGTGGTATGTGGTATTTCGGCCAAACGGGGCGATGCCTTAATGAAAGGCTAAAAGAGCACCATTGTAATGTTCACAAAGCAATCCAGGGCCACATTCGAATTCACTGCCGTGATTGTGGATGTACCCCTATGTTTGATCAATGTGAAGTGGTAAAAAAAGCACCCGTCACAATTAACTCGAGAAATTATAGAAGCGCATTGTATAGCAAGAGCTGGCAGCACGTGTACTAGCGCCCCTTCTTTGGCTTTATCTGAACATGAAGTGGCCTTCTTTAATCAGGGTAACCGCCTATGAATCTGTGATATGTGACAGTTCAAGTACGACAAATCAACTCGCCCAATCTTCGACACTCGTGTTCTAACCAAACTTCATTTTTTTTTCTTTATCTTGCTTTATGTCGACATATATGTAACACAGAAAGGCTGAAACCGCATCTATGATCCTCCCATTACACATTTTGGCAGCATGCTTGCTTGATTTCAAATATAACTAGACATCTATGTAGAAAGCAGCACCTGATTGCCTGGATTAATAAAATTAATAAAGCAGTTTATGAATTTCTGAGATAGCTGCATTTTTTTTCACCCCGAAAGAAAAAAAAAATTGAAGTTCAAAATTATGTATGAGGAAAGAGTAATTAATGAAAATATGAACTGAATATTTCAGCTTGAATCATGATGTACGGAATGTGCAGACTCGCTTGCACGCACACTCACCAATGCTCGTGCCATTCACACAAACTTGCAACACTTTTGTTATTGTCAGTCCTCGACGAACGATCAGTCTGAGTTTCTGCATAAACAGCCACCCAGAAATAACGAAGAAATTGCGAAGCCTCCCGTCATGTGCGCCCGAATTGTAAGGGAACTCTGTCACCACTGTTAAGTGCGAGTACCATAAGCTGTTTGTGTTTGTTACGTACCTTCGCGTCATTGTTGGTACCGGTATCGATTGCAGATTGTGTGGTTCCAGATTCCGTAAATTCAGTCTGAAAATAACAGAACTCCTTGTCATGTAGCCCTCATGCATGGATGTCATATAAATACGCACTCTTGCAGCTTCCTTTATCAAGAGGAGCAAATGTCGAACGCACCGCATCGTCGTCCAGCAAAAGTTGCGAGTCGTCGGACACACGCAACACGGGCCGGGTGTCAAGCTGATTTTCGGACTTGGGAAATATTGATGGGACAACACAGGGGCAAAGCTTTGCTTGGAGGAGCACATTGCAAGCATCTACCAAGTTCCGGTTGGTCTCGTAATCTTCATCACAAAAGTGCAGCGAGCACACAAGGACAGTCTTTGACTGTTTAGCACGCTGGTGCAAGGGTATGACACTCAGCCACTTCGAGCGTAAGGGTTCTTTCTGCAGCATCCAGTGAAAAGACAGATTGGTTCACCTGTTGCGGTACTAGTGGCGTGCACCATTGGGGCATCCGGCAACATCGCACGTATGCAGCATTCTGTTGAACTTTCTGTCGGCGCTACTTTCATGAGCGTGAAAACACACGGCAGTGCGCGATCACGAAACTACCACTGAGAGGCGACCGCATCGTAGGCGTTATCTGACCGCGTGAGCGACACAGGGCGCCGGACGAAGCGCAGTTCGGCGAATATAGAACTGTTGAACCACGCGCGCCGTTCACCATGGCAATGCCAGAGAGGTTATTCTTTCCATGAATCAGGCAGAAACGAACAAACAGCATTTTATTACATCTCTTGATGCTCGGAAGGTTCTTTATTTAATGCAGCTAGTTTGATTACTGGTGATTAATTGTAGGCGGTTCGTCTCACGTCATCAGGATAGTGTTGAAAATGTCCGACCGTAGCGTTGGTGGTCACGTGCATTTACCCTAATTTCTCGGTAAGTACGCCACTGCTGTTGATAATATAGTTGTTTTAGACGTCATACATTGAACTTTCACTGTGACATAAATTGCTATTTGGCTTTAGTGTTCCTTTAAGTTTACGTCCCAAAGAAAGTAAGTGCTTTGTCCTTGAAATGGAAACACTTGGCAATAATTGGCCTTTGCTTTTCAGGGCTATATTATTCTAAATGGGGAACAGGCTCGAATTGAAGACTCTTGGCGGTCATCTGCAACTCTTCCAAGCAGAATTTAAGTATTTTTTGTTCGGACATTGCCGTTCTTCACCCGACTCCTCTTCTACACCAAACAATAGAAGATTCGAGCGTCACTTTCTATTTTTTACATCCTCACATCTTGTGGCGATAGCACTCAGTTGATCTGACAAGCACACAGTTTCGCCATTCTTGTCTTCCTTTTCTGTGTTATACGAAGAGCTGCTTTCAAGGTCGCCACTCTAGCATAAGTATTTGAACAGTGTTCTCATAAGTTTCTTGTTTTTCTCTTACACTTTTCAGCTCCTTTAGTAAGGAACCTTGTGTTTCCTCAAGCTTCCGGATAGTTTCTAGAGCCACAGCAAAACCTCAGCCTCGCTTTTTAACATGGGACCTGGGTTGGACTCGACATCGCCAGCAAGCAGGAGCCAAAGGTTACACAAGCAAGAACAAAATCCAGCTGAAAAGGCAGCCGTTCGTTTTAATATGTCTTCAAGAGCCCGTGGCACGACACTGCGAGAAGACAACAGTTGTTACTCTTAACATAAGCCGCATTGTTTAAGTAACTAACCTGAAACATCAAGCAGCATGATAGCACCTTGTCTCGTGCGGTGTCGTGCCCAATGTGCAGGATTTCTGGGAGCTTCTTATACTGTGCTCCAGCCGCCTCGAACTCGGCTGTCGTAAATTCGGGTTTCCAGACGTACGGGCAGGTTCCATTCAGAACTGGCGTATGATGTGTCGAATTCGGCGTAGCCAGTGCCAAGCACGTTGGCAGACGGTGACCCAGATTGATGAGCCATGACCAGATAGTCCAAGTGATAGCAGCCTGAAACATCAAGCAGCATGAAGGAATCTCGTCTCGTTCGATGCCGTGCTCATGTACCCATGTGCTTGGTACTCATGTCTAACGCATTACCCTAGTCCAAGTTATATGTTGAGCTTTACAATCTTTCAATGACTTCACATCAGTTCTCCTCACCCTCATTTTCTTTTCCCACCCTCATGCGATGCTGTACTTGATATGTGGGGTTTAACGTGCCAAAACCGCCATATGATTACTGAGACACCGTAGTGGAAAGCTCCAGAAATTTCGACCACCTGGGGTTCTTTAACGTGCACCCAAATTTGAGCACACGAGACTACAGCATTTTTGCCTCCACCGAAAATGCAGCCACCGCAGTCGGGATTTTATCTTGCGACCTGCAGGTCAGCAGCCGAGTACCGTAACCACAAGAGCACCACGGCGGGGCTGTGATGCTGTGCTACAAAATGCTCAGATATACATGCACCATTTCATATATAGCTTTATCTGCAAAGCGCCATACACCAGTGTTACATACATTGATTGATTGATTTGTAGGGTTTAACGTCCCAAAACCACCATTTGATTATGAGAGACGCAGTGTTACATACATTAACTTTAACGCTTCTTTTTCATACATTAACTTTAACGCTTCTTTTTCATTTTTTCCCATCATCACACCTTTCTTCATTACACAAACATCCCCTTACAATCACCTTGCATACCTAACTATACGTGGCTATGGTGTACATGGCTTTGCATTCATGGCACAATGCTACGACATTAGGTGACAGCAGATGAAGATGGCATACGACGATGGCCCGGGTCACAATACTGCTTTGAACTCAAAGATTGACAACGTTGTCTTTCCGAGTTGGACTGAACAGCAATTATCACTCAAACGAGCCATCAACGGCACTGCTGACAGTAAAAGAAACTATTATTTTACTTCACAACAGTGCAGAAAAAGGCTGCACTGGTAATGTCTTTGAAAGGCTGCCGCTATGAAAAAATGTTGAACATAGCAGCCGGCAGAACAAATTTCAAAGCAGGGGCACAGAGGAAAGTGACAGGTATTGGCACACACAACTGTCACGCGCAAAATTGATTCAAATACTTTCAAAACACTAAGCCCCTGGCAAAATAACAATAAGGAAAGCATACTAGCAACAACTGAAATTCAATGGTTCATACTACAGAACATGCACATTATGTTATTGGTGGACTGATGGGAAAAGGAATAAAATGATCAAAAGCCATATCCAGGCAGGAGATGGCGGAAACATCTTTGGTGGACAAGTCGAGACCTGCCAGACGCATCCAAAAGCAGCGGAAGCAGAAGAGCACACAGAACTTTAGAGAGGCAATAACATAATTCTTTATTTGCTCTGCCTATGGCACAAACATTTATTTCTTGTTGGGGTTTGAAGCAGAATTAGCCTGTAGAATGACTAGAGCATCCTTCACTGCATGGTAGATCACATTTTTAATCTGTAGCTTGTCCTCGTGGTTTGTGTGGGTATCAGACAACCGCCGGAATTCGTTGGTCAACCTGAAGCAGTGAGCAATGTTTTCGGGGGATACGAAGTCTTCCGCCACTTTTATACAGCTGTGCAAGTTTTGCACCTGGTGTGGGGCCCCTGCTGGTATAAAAACTGCATCTCCAAGACACTGGGCAATAGCGTAGCCCTCCACGTCATATTCGAGGAAAAGGCGTTCACGGAGCTCGTGATCTAGGTACCAGCTCTGGTCATGGATGGGATCATTATGGGGCTCCAGCTTCTCACCACGCTCCAGTGCCACCTTATTGAGTAGATCTCTGATCTTGTCAGCATCACAGGCATTGTAGATGTGCCAAAGAGCCCCTGGTTTGGCATTTTTTTGTCTCACCCTTTTTTGTGTTAGCACATCACATCCTCCTTCATCAATTGCCTTCAGTGCAGCATTGATGTGTTCTTCATCCTTCCCATCCTTGGGAATTCCAACATAAACCATAACGTTAACAGCATCACTGACATCCAGATGTAGGTTAGTGGTGCCTTTACTTGGGTAAAGTGCAGAGCCATAGGCACTGTACATCTTTGGCCCAAGGTCCGGCCTGACAAAACACTCCGGCAGCCGCCCAGCCAAGTTGAAAACTCCATCCCGGTGAGTGTACTCTGGCAGTGGCAGGGCATTCATAAGATCATTGAACCTGCTGGGCAGCATGTCACTGAAGTCATCACCAGGTGGCCAATCCTTCAGTTTCAGTAGCATATATTGTCCATCTTCATCTTTCATGCGCCTGGTAAAGTTCTCAAAACCTTCCCAAAAGTTCCACATTGGCTGGTTTGGAAGGATACAGCCATTTCGGCAATTCACTAGGTCATTTCGTTTTTGACCAAAGTCTTCGCAGAAACAGTCAGGGTGCCACAGTGGCATATTCATGTTCTTGCAAACACCAGCGACCAGCACAGGCTGGCCTCGATTCCATTGCTCCTGGAATATTGACAAGTTGTGCTTGTTGCGTGGTTCGTGGAGTACAAGCAAAGTCCCATTGCAGAGCCATGAATGGGGAACCTTGGGGTAGAGCAATGAGGTCTCAGCTAAGCTGCAGACACGCACAGGCAAGACTTCACGGCCTTTTTGTGGGCTGGGGAAGCGTCGACAGAAACGTGCCAGCTGCTGTTCATCTTTCTTGCCCATCATTTGCTCCACTGCCATTGTCACTACTTCATCCACCGGTCTCTTCTTAGCAATGCAACCAGTAGGGCGGGCGAGCAGTTCACATAGTTTGGAAATGTCATCACCCTTCTCGTCATTACCACCTTTATATGGCTGCTGCTGATCACTTTTGTACTTAGTTTTAGAGCAGGTCAGTGCCACATTTGCCAACAATGACAGGGGAGAATTTTCACTCTCTGACATGTACGTGCAACCAACTCTATCAGAAGACGCAGTGGCGCCGCCATTCACAGGTTGAATTTCACGCTTGACAGCATGCCCCATTTCACCTATCGGCTGCAATGCACTCCTTGTCAGGGGCGAAAGACTTGCTGACGGCTTTCATGAGTTCCTTGCGCTGCTGATTATAGGAGCAGAACTCCCTGTAACTATCACTGTTGCGAAAGTCATAGCCATGGTAGCTCGGGATGTCCCAGTAATGGCGTATACGGTCTAGGTCTTGTTTGACTTCCAACAGAGCCCTGCCAACTATTACCTGCGTCATCATCAATTTATTCTGTTTGTGCGGCTGTCGCTTGGCACACAAGAGCCACAGAAACTCATCCTTGTCCGTCGGAAGCATGTCCTCAGCTTTCACTGTACCACACTTCTTTGCCTTGTAACAATCTATACACACTACAAAGCCACACTTGTCACAAATCCAGTGAATGTTGAAGATAGTTGTTTCACAGACATCGCACAGTTCACGCACACCTTGCACAACGCGCTTCCACAATATGGTCTTATCTCGGCCCTATGTGTAGAGACTGCGCTTCCTGTTCTTGCTCTACGAGACCAAAAAATTGGTCGCGCACGTGGAACAATATGGTTTTTGCAGTGTTAACATCCAAGTCTTTGGGTGCACGACCTAATGTGGGCAGCCACAGCTTTAAATCTTCTTGTGAAGCATCACTTAGTACCGAGAAGCCATCACTTACCACAGTGCCACTCTTGTTAAAGCGTAGCTTTCTGAATGCGTAGAAGCGGCAGATAATGTTCGGAGTTTCCTTTTTTTCCTGGCTTGGTGTCATGTTACACTCTCTACACTTAGGCAGCTTTGGAGCAACTTCATGACAAGATGCATCCTGGAGAAATGACTCACCAGACTTCTTCAGTTGGTCAATCGTTCGCTTTTCTGCGGATCGTGCTTGCTCTTTCCGAGGCATTGTAGCCAATTCATCAGTTGTATTGAGCTCAATTCCCTTGGGCCTCTTGCTTTCTCTTCCAAAAATATTCTCTTGTTTTTCTTCCTTTTTAGATGTTTCTTCAAGAGCTGCATCACTGTTTCTCTCAGTTCCCACGTGGCAACTTGCTACCAGATTTGTCCCTGTTAACTCGTTGCTTTCTGGTACTCCTTGTCTTGCGACTCCCTGCTCGTTTTTCCTCCTTTATGAAGCCGTCTGCTTCTGAGCCGTGCGCATTAATGGTCGTCTCAATCGGTACTTGTTGCTGCTTGGAAGGTGAAACAGAAGCACTGCTGCCGTCCAAAGTGTGCCTCTCCATCACGAGGCTTATTGATTTCAGAGTGCCGTTGCAACCAAACCTTTTTCTGTTTTGTGTGGATGCTGCTGTTGCTCATTGTGATGCAAGTAGTAGGCGCCGAACTTTGAGTAACTCGTGTGTCAGAATCGTACTCGTGCACAATGGATGACCCACCGATGACATTTCCTGGCTTGCTATACTCTCCAGATGCTAGAAAAGGGGCGACGGGAGGTCTCACTTTTGTTCTGCACATGTTATAGAATGCTTGATAGTTGTCCTGACTGGCAGCGGACTGGTGTGTAAGTAAGCAGGTATCACTTGTTGCTGATGTGGTGTTACAGCAGCAAACGGGCGAAAAGTATCTTGCTCACAAAAAGAAGTTCTTTCTCTTAGCTGCACAGACCTTGTCACAGCTAATGAGCCCAAAAGAGAAGCAGCTTCTGCATCCATGCCACATGCTGTTGAAGTAACCACTGGTGGCGGAACTGAGCAGTGAAAAGGCGATGGACTCTCTCCAAGGCATAGCAAGTTCGCTGGCTCAGGATCAAGGGCAACTTTGCATTTGCCTAAAGATAGGGCACCTTGCTGAAAGTTCAATGATTGTGGCAATGGCGGCGTCAGTCTAGGAGGGCTCGAAATGTCAGGCGACCGATGCATGGATGGCGATCGTGATGGACGGATAGGACGTCCGTGCATGGTAACAAAAGGCACCTTGCGCTACTGATGCTGACTGGGCCAGACCGGGCTGGTAGACTGTTCCGGCTTAAACAGCGAAGCGGCACCCGGCTCCTCTCGGCGTGGTCGGTGCATCTATCTCGGCGCCAATTTTTGGCGCCAACTTGCTGTGGTAGCACTATAGAGTAACATAGTAAACTCTATGTTAGCACAGTTAAGGTACAGTGTTGCCTGTAGCGGCGGCGCTGCAGTCGAATGTACTAAAAGAGCTGCACGCAGGAACTGCTATGCGCTTCGGCTCCTCCGGCGCACTTTTTGACGCAGATTTCTTCGTACCTGCCAACCATTCTTGTCTGATTTGATTGATATGTGGGGTTTAACGTCCCAAAACCACTATATGATTATGAGAGACGCCGTAGTGGAGGGCTCCGGAAATTTAGACCACCTGGGGTTCTTTAACGTGCACCCAAATCTGAGCACACGGGCCTACAACATTTCCGCCTCCATCGGAAATGCAGCCGCCGCAGCCGGGAATCGAACCCGCGCCCTGCGGGTCAGCAGCCGAGTACCTTAGCCACTAGACCACCACGGCGGGGCCAACCATTCTTGTCTAACACATGATGTCATAACCCTTTAAGTATCACACGCCAATCTACTAAAATTAAGTTTCATAAAAGCCCTTGTTAGAGATCGAAATTCATTTAGAAAGGGCGTGTCATGTTCCAATTTCTTCCGTCTTAATTCTTTCCTCGTTGGTAGTGGCACTAGAAATGGTCTCATTCTGAGGTAGTGGGACTAGAAATGCACCGCGTAAAAATAGCGGCTGTTTTAAGGGGCATTGCATAGATATTGTTAAGGGCGCGGTGACGTGTCAGTGAAATGCACGTGAACTTGATATATATATATATATATATATATATATATATATATATATATATATATATATATATATATATATATATATATATATATATATATATATATATATATATATGCGTGTGTGTGTGTGCGTGTGTAAGATAACCCATTTCGCGTAGAGTTCATGACTGGAGGTACACGCCTCAAGCTTGGCTCCCTGGCTCGGCCTCCTGGTATTATAAGCATTTGGAGGTTTCATAAAAGAATTAAAGAAGGTTTTATTTCGGGGAGCGTACATTTACTCACGAACTGCGAAAGAACACAAAACACATTTGAAACTCACAAAATTAGCGCTCCCCTCTTGCCCTTTCCCTTTTCCAGTGTCTCAGTTTTTACGTGCTACGATATTATTAGTTATGAATTACCAACACGCCCAACTACATACCCTTGTAAGCAAAGTAAGCGTGAAAGCGCGTGATTGAGACAATTTAGACCTTTCAGCAAAGGCGGTATTTATTATCTTCCACAAAACTGGCATAATAAAAGTGAGTCGTCCCCGATATAAATGTGTCACAACGTTACTTATACTCAGGTTTCTCATGAAGCAATTGAGTGCATGGGACTCATATGAGGAACAGTGCTAGTGGATTTCGCAGAGATTGCCGACAAAACGAGCATATGATTTAATTGTAGTTTTAGCACTTCTCCTATCTGAAGTTCACCAGCAGCCACCTATTATGTAGCGCAGCACAAAGCGCCGTTTGAGTGAGAAGCAAGGCAGATCCGTGCAAATTCCAATTGTACATGTTTTTTTTTATGTGGGCCGGCAGGTTCTTGAAGCAGTGAATGCCTCGACAGCAATTTCGACGTGTCTGCATATTCACTCATGCACGATGGCTCATACCAGGTGTGCATACACTGATAAAGAACCAGAAATGCATTAAACACGTGAAAAACGAGCAAATACACGCTTTTGCAGGCTATGGCGCGGGCGCTCCCAATGCAGACGCTTCTGAGATCTTTAGTACTATGTGACTACAGCGCCGCTACTGCTCTCACCCGCCGTAAAAAATCAGCCAAGATGAGGTGCAGCCGCCTCGTTTGTTCTACTGTTTTCTTCTTGTAGCCAATAATACAAAGCCCTAGCACGCTCTTTTTCTTTATACTGCGCTTCTGCATGTAGTCCACAAACGCAAACTTTTGTGTATCGTGTAGGAATAATACAAAATATTAAAAAAATGCAAACATATTGTTGAAAATTATTTGTAATATAATATAAAGCTTCATTTGTGTGTTTTTTGTTTTTAGTTTTTAGTACCATTTCACCTTTTTCTGTGCCTCGGTAAGCAATGATGGCGTCGATCAGTAAAGTTCACGTTAAAGTTGGGAAAGCACGGAGGAAGGAAAGATTTTCCTTCCTTAATCCTAGGGAGCGAGCACGAGTGCGTGTTTGTTAGGTGATCTGTATTCATCGAGCAGCGAGAAACGAAGACAGTGGTGCGTCGTGAAATATTTTGTTTCCCGCACATGCAATGACCGGGAAGTTCTGTGCGAGTGATATCAGCAAAAGTGGGACTTCAATAGCCAAAGCCGCCTTGAAAGTGACACCGGCAACCTGCCAGCCTTCAGCAACACCAGCTGCTTGGAAGAAAAAATGCGATTGGAAAATGTACGTAAAACCAGTGACCCTTTTCCTAAATTTCGTTGCATACGCGGACGGTGTTCCGGCTGCCTTGTGTTGATACGATAACACTGATGATCGCGTACTGTAACACCACTCCCGTCGGCGTCTACGGAGGAAGTCGTTCCTTGCGCTTCCCTACTGAAACGTTCCGTGTGAAATCTTACGGAAAAAATATGGACTCCCGTATACTGTCGGTGAACTATAAGTGGCGTGCAAGTCGACTGAATGTGGCTGTCCCGAGGAGGATAGACGCACCGGATTGCCCGGAGTGGCCCCAGTAAACACGTGTACTTTAGCGTGGTGCGGCACGTTTTGCACGATGTGCGACAGCAGTGCAGTTCTTTTTGCGAGGCCACTTACGTTAGGTAATGTCATGAGCTGCAGGGGAGTGGGAGGCAGCAGAATTAGATGTCTAATTGAATGTGTAGCAGTGAACGCTCGCCACCTTACATGCTGTGGACGGAAAAGCTGCGACACGTTGTCCGTTACGATACAAGGCCTGTGTGTCCAGACATCGCAGGTGAAATAAAAGCCGCACAAACCTGAGTTCGTCTATGGACTCGACGGCTCTATCAAGGTACAGGCATGAACATAAGTATGCTGACCACGAGATCGCGTTGCTGAAGGCATCGACGTGCTATTTAGCGACGAAACGCCTGCTGCGGTGCGCATGCGTGTCCCGTCGTATCAGTTGGCCTTTCATGTCGCTGTTTCCAACAAGGTAGTAGCCAAAACACCGGGGTGTCGCTGTCATTGCTCTATCGAATTCGCGCTGTTTTTTTTTTAACGTAGAGGTTGTGACGGTGTGATTCCAGCGCCGGGATCGCGTAGTGGTTTATGCCGGTTGATTCATATCTAAGCGCAACCAGCCTCGCAAAAACTGATGAAGCCAAGCACACAAAATTAAATTTTCTCAGCTGAGCTTGCCTTTGTCACGTTAGGCCAAGTTGAACTTCAGTGAGCCTAGTTAAGTGAGTGTAGGTGTAACCGAATCTAATCCAGCCTAGTTGAGCGCGGTATCACCTGATAAATTCGGGTGTCAGTAAGGTCAAGCCCAGTCCACATTGCTGTTTTTATGTTAAGCGTAGTAAAACTTCGATGCGCCCAGTTGGGTTGAGAAAAAAAGTACACGTACAGCCAAATCTAATTATGCATAATCAATCATGCTATCACTTCAGTTAGCCGAGAAAAATTAGACCACATAAGACAAACCTAATAGCAGCCAATTAAGAGGAAATGCTACTCGAAGACACTTTTTCTTTAATATTCACCCTTGAGCAATGAAACTTGAGCTGTTTATGGAACTTTTTATGCCGATTTGAAATATATAATTAGTTTTCTTGCAAGTTACACTTAGCTCTGCAGCATGACAAAGTGAAAACCTTAAGCCTTTTGCCCTGCCTCTTTTCATCCCTAAAATTCTGTAACTTTTTATCATTCATAACTCATAATGTTTCAGATAAAGTGTAGAGTGCGAATAACTATTTAGGAAGCAGATACAAAATATGTAATACGCGTGGAAAATAATATACGTAAAAAGTCCATATTTCACCTACCCTAGTATAGGTGTACATACAATTTTTTATACAAAAATATTGAAATTCAAGCTACAGATTTTCCCGCTCAATTTAATCCAAGTGCCAGCCAAATTAATCTAGGCGCCAGTTAATTTAATCCAGCCGCCACTCAAATTAATCCAGGTGCCATTCATTTTAATCGAAGTGCCACTGAAATTAATCCAACCGCCAGCCGATTTAATCCGGACGCCAGCGATTTAATCCTGATGACATTGTGACTTCAAAACGACCCAGAATTTTTGGGAATGCGTGGAGTGAATAGCTTTTGAGTGAATTTAACAGGGAAAAACCATAAATGAGTCACTAGTGACACAATGTGACTCGTCTTTGACACAATGTGACACGCCTTTCACCCACGCACACAATGTCTAACCTGCCATCATATATACCAAACGAAACGTCTTTGAGAGGCTAATAAATTGAACGCTGTCAATCGGCCTAGTGACGTGATCACTAGTGACTCGTGTGACGTCAACGCGCATGACACCCACGCACGCAGTGTCTAACCTGAGTTCATATATATCAAACAAAACGTCTTTGAAAGGGTAATAACGTGAGCGCTGGCACTAGGCCTAGTGACTTGATCACTAGTGACTGGTGTGACGTCATCATGCCTATCACACACACACACACGCAGTGTCCAAACCTGTCTTCATACATATCAAACGAAACGTCTTTGAGAGAGTAATAACTTGAACTCTGTCACTAGGCCCAGTGACGTCATCACTAGTGACTTGCGTAACGTCATCTCACCTAAAAATCATGCAAGCACTCCATAATGTGCCTTCATGCATATCAAACAAAAAGTCTTTGAAAGGGTAATAACATGAACAATGTTACTAGGCCTTGTGATGTCATCGCTAGTGACTCACGTGGTGTCCTAACCTGTCTTCATGCATATCAAACGAAACGTCTTTGAGAGAGTAATAACTTGAGCGCTGTCATTAGGCCTAGTGACGTCATCACTAGTCACTCACATGACGTCATTACGCCTATCACACACGCACG